CCTGACGTGGGACTCGATCCCGGGACTCCAGGATCATGACCTGAGCCGAAGGCAGTCGCTTAACCAACTGAGCCACCCAGGCGCCCCGAAGTTTTCAAGGTTCCTGCACACGGTGGCTTTAATCAGTACTTCAGTCTCGTCATTCGCCTAAACGGACCATTACCTGGCTCTCCACAAACGACGACGCTCTGACACACGTCGCGTCTACACTCGCCAGGCAACACTACTCTCCCCGCCCCGCGTCAGGAGGAGCGCCAAGAAAACCGCGCCGGCGGACAGCCCTCTAACGGACAAGGTTCCCTCGCCCTCCGGTCCCTGCCGGGCTCGGGTCAGAGGGCCTCCAAAGGTCGCCTCCCCAGGATGGATACCCCCGGCCTCACCGGCACCTCAAGCGGCCCCTGCCGCCGGCCACCGCGCAGGCTCCGCCCCTCCGAGGCCCCGCCCCCACGGCCCAAGGCGGAAGTGACGCACCGGAAGCGCCCCTGGTCCCCTTGCAGTGGGGGGAAGGAATCAAACCCCCAAGATGGCGGCGGCGTCGGAGGAGCGGATGGCTGAGGAAGGAGGCGGCGGCCACGGCGACGGCGGCCCCTCTTCGGCCATCGGCTCTGCCCAGCGACTGCCCCCCCCGCCCCCGCCCCCGGCCCCGCAGCCGGGCTCCCAGGCGCCCCCAGCCCCGGCGCTGGCTCCCGACCAGCTGCCTCAAAACAACACGCTGGTGGCGCTGCCCATCGTAGCCATCGAGAACATCCTCAGCTTTATGTCCTACGACGAAATTAGCCAGCTCCGCCTGGTGAGGCCCCCGCGGGACCCCCGCCGCCCCCTCCGCCGGCCGAGGTCTGGGGAGGGGCGGAGAGGGGAGCGCGTCCCCCGGGGAGGGAGCCGCAGCCGGCTCCAGGACGCGGAGTCCCGGCGCCGGGCGGCGGGGTCGTCCCCCCTTCCTGCCGCGGGGCTAGGGTCTCGCTGCCCCGGCCCGGAAGCGGGGCGGCGGCGGGAGTTGGGCGTCTCAGCGCCGCCCGGCCTGAGCGCCGGCCCCGCGGCTCCGGTAGCCGCCTTTTGTGCACCAGCGTCCAGCCCCCGGCCGGGTCCAGCCAGGTTTGGTCGGTCCGCAGGAATCACGCACTGTGTCCCCCTCTTCCCCCCCAACCCCCGACCCAGGTTTCCCGGTTGGAGAAGATGAAGTAGGGTCGGGGAGGCCTCCCCAAACCCGGTGGGGGCTCCGAGGGGCGTGAATGCCATTTGGTGGCCCCAGCTCCCCAGGTGACCAGTAAAGTAGAGCCCACCGAGAGTGCGTCCGGCTCGGCCTCGCCCCGACACTTCCCACCCTCGGGGAGCACCTCGCCCCTGGACAGGGTTGGTTTCTCTTGCAGTTCATTTTCTAACTAGTGACTTAACGCCCACCCGCCAGCTTCAAATCACAGTAGTTCAATGATTTATAGAAAGGAGGAATTTACCTCGCTCCACAGCGTGGACTGAAGGTTTGATGAATGTCTTAGTTCAGTAAGATCTTTTGCTTCCTGTTGGGGGATTTATCTTTAAGTGGGAAGGAAATTGAAGGAGGTGGACATTTTGAAGTGATTGCAAGCCGACTGTGTGTAGGAGCTGAATCTGTGCTTGGGATTGTTTATAAGAGGACAAAGACATATTTCTGAATGTAGTGTGTACAGCATTTTCTCGTTCCTGTGCCACATTTTAGGTTTACACCTCCGGTTTAAATTTGATTCTGATTACGTTTTGGAAAGGAGATCATACTTTTTAAAGAAGGTTTATTAATTTTGATTCAAACTGATGACCAGGTTTTTTTTCCTAGTCAGCCCAGCAGGTCTACCACGCCAGCCTGGGGATTGGAAGATTCCTCAGTTGAAAAGTCATATTTCAAAATTGATTGTCCCTGAATTCCCCAAACATGTCATCCTAGAATTCCATATAGAATCTTAAATATTCCTTCCGATTTTTATAAAGGATGGTGTTTGATCAAGATTCATGCTGTACACAGTTGGGCATAACATTTGATTGAATTGAGCCTCTCGGCCAGACAGTGGCTTTGTAAAGCTTGGAATATTCAGTTTGGGTTTGTAAGTGTTGGGGAAAACTGGTTTTTTGTTCGTTTGTCAGTCGTGTACTTTTTTAAAAATTAGACACATTTTTTGAGGGGGAAAACTAGCTTCTTAGGACATCCCACAGTTTATTAATAAAGGACATCTCTTTCCAGTGGAATATTCAGTTGCATTCTTAATTTTAAAGCAGTCCTCTAGTCTAGCCTTTTAAGGGTACAGATTTGTAGTGTCAAACAAAGATTTTTCATAAGGAGCTCCTTACCATCCCCTGCGCCACCACCCTCTTTCCCCCTGCCTCCCAAAAGATTCTGCAGTCAATTTTATGTCTCAAAGATGGGTCTTTTCCCTCTGGTTTAGTAATGAGGAACTATTTTCTTATTCTTTTGTTTACTTAAGGTTAATAGATAATTCTTAGATTAGGTGGTTAATCTTTTGTGGGCATTTGGAAGTGTCTTTGGTTTCAGATTGATTGGCTCGGTGTTGTAAGGTACAATTCAATTCAGGTAGCATTATAAAAGAAGATGTTCTTTCTTGCCACTAGATGTCAGCATTAATTTAATTGTGGTCTTTTAATGAAATTGGCAGGGTAGAAACAGGGCCTGGTAGGTGCTTTACTTATACCTAATGGGCTATTTGCCAAAACATCAAGGAACTTTAGTATGTATGCTGCTATCTAGAGTACACATTACATAACTCCTTTCAAGTTTTTTTTTTAGTGGAATTAAGGCTGGATATGCTTGGAAGAGAATGATATTAATTAAGAATAGAATTAGTTTCCATAAAGCTAAATGTCAACTACTCAGTGGTTGATGAACTAGTTTATGTATTATTTAGATGTTTGGGTTTTTTCTTTCTTCCCACTTTACTTGCCTTATTAGGACCTCAGTTGTAACTGTGGTTAGCACCTAAATTAGAGGACAGGCACACAAGCCATGTACTCATTTTTTGTATTTTCTTTAAAAGATTTTCTCTCGGTTGAAATTGCTAAAATAACATTTTTCAGTTCTTTGTGCAGTTTAGTTGATGATAGTCTTTGCTTCCTGTTGCCATGAATAATTGAAATTTGACTCTCCAGTCCAGTTCTTACCAAGGGATTGTCCAAATGCCTTATTGAATTGTTGGTTTGTTTGTTTTTCCTGCCATTGACTGTTGCTCCAAAAATGTACCCAGAGCCTAGAGATCCTGGTTACACAGAAATAGTTCTTTAAATATTTAACTCTTCCAATGTATTTAAAATTATTTGGCGGAACACAGCTTTTGAAGTGACAAAACTTGTACTTTGAGTTGTTTTCTCAGTAAGTCAGACAAATTTGTGCTGATGCAGCATTAGACTGTCACCTAGGCCCTCTTGATGGGGTGAGAATTTTTGAAACAAGTGGCAAAGGTTAAGAAGTGAGGTCCTACCCCCAGTTCGGAGTGTATCTAAGCCAAGTTTGAGCCTTTGATTTTGACTTGTGAGCATAGTGTTCTCACTCACTGAAAAATGAGTATGGAAGGCTTTTTAAAAAGCTGTTTCAGAGGGATCCTATCAGATTTTTTCCTGTATTGTTTGAGTGGGGAGCTCCTGTGGTTCAGGACATAAATATGACTGAAGGTTAAATTCAGAAGTCTTGCTCATTATCTGGAATGAAATTTTCTGGTAGGTAACAAAATACATCCATACTTTCATCCCGAGTTATTTCTCTAGAGCACTCTAGCTAGTTAAATCTGTTACCCATTTATAGTTCCTTTTTCATCTTTTGTTCAAATATGTTAGAAAATTTTATAGAGAAGGTTGATTGGTAGGAAATATGAAGGAAAATGAGAAACCATTACTTTTTTTTTATAGGCAAGCGCTTTTCCTAATATCTCTTGCTCTATGCCAGTAGTTCTCAAATTTTTTTTTAACCTCGGGACATCTTTATACTCTTAAAAGTTATTGAGGACCCTAAGAGCTTACCTTAGAAAATTCTAGAAGACACAGGAAGAGACAGTACATACTTCGTTAGTGGTCAGAAAAATAATGTTATCATGTGTCATGTGGCCCCTGGAAAAGTCCACTGTATGTATGGAAGAATGAGAGTAAAAATGGCAAATACCATCTTAGTATTATGAAAATAGTTTGGCCTCACAGACTCTCAAAAGGATCTTGGGAATCCCAGGGGTCCCTAGACCACACTTTACAAACCATGGCTCTTTGTGGCGGCGTTATGGAGAATATATTCTATGCATTTGATGATTTGTGGTTTTTCCCCACCATCTCATCATTGGGTTATTTTTATTAACAGGTACTTAAGTATAGGTTGGAGATTCTAATATTTAGGGGACAATTCATTTTTCCTGCAGATTCTAGTCCTAACGTGAAGGGGTTCAACCAGTAACCCTGCCCAGAGTGTCATGAAGACAGAATGGACACACCTTCCTTGAGCACACTTAGAAAGCACCAGGATAACAAATGCAAAGATAAGAAATACAAGACTGTTGATGTTAATTGGGAGCACTTAATCAGAGAGGCTTCCTCAAGAGAATAATGAGTGTTTTATCCAGTTTATCCTTAGTAAAGGTGAGAGAACATTCCCAGCAGAAAAGAAATGACGTGTACAATGTAGTGAAGTGACTGGAGCAGGGTAACTAATTACAGCTATGAGGTGATTGTCTGAAGTGTCAGATGTCCTGGATTAGTGCTCAGACTCCCCCCTTGTTTCACCTTTTTTTATTTCTCAGACTGGCCAGGTTTAAGAAACTGTTTTGAGAACCTACAGGGTTGACACCTTTTGGGGGGAGCAAGTAAGAATGTTAAGAAACAACTTCCACCTCTTAACATCATCATCATTTCCTAACAGACCAGAGGCACCTGAACAACCTGGTCAGCAGAGCAGGGCAGATTCAGACGGTATGGGAGAAGGTCCTAGCTTCCAAGGATGGCCTATGCGTAGGATCCAGTCTCACGATGTTTAGGAGCCAAAGATAACCCTTGATCGAGGTTTCTCCCAACCACCTACTTCTAACATCTTGGACTTAAGCTCAATTGAAACAGGCGTCATCAGGCTGTTGAGTTTCCCAAACATGCTAGGCCTCTCGCAGCAGGTGCTGCTTCTGCCTGCAGCCTCTCCTTCATTCCCCCCTCCTAGAGAGTATCTGTTCCTTCAGGATATACCTTAAGTGTCAGTACCTCAGTACAGCCTCTGTGCCTCTTTTCTGAACCTCACTGGGTAGTACTTCTGAGTTCCCAACGCAACATGGTTGTACTTACAGATTCTATTGGAATTGTCTTTGGTGGGGCCGGTTGGGCACTGAATTTAGGCTCCTCGTACCCTTTCATCAGGAATCCTGATGGCCTTCTGTAGTCTGTGATTCAATATGAGTACTCAGTGTTTGTTGAATAAATGAAGTAGTTCTTAAAAACACTGCACTAGGGACGCCTGGATGGCTCAGTCGTTAAGCGTCTGCCTTTGGCTCAGGTCGTGATCTCAGGGTCCTGGGATCAAGCCCCGCATTGGGCTCCCTGCTCCACGGGAAGCCTGCTTCTCCCTCTCCGACTCCCCCTGCTTGTGTTCCCTCTCTCGCTGTCTCTCTCTCTCTGTCAAATAATAAATAAATAAATAAAATCTTTAAACAAAACAAAACAAAAAACTGCGCTACTCCAAGTAAAGGATAGAAAATAAATGTCATTGTGAAATAAATGTGTTTTCTGTATACACTATGGTAGTGCTAGAAAATGTGCTGCTCCTCCAACAGAGGAGAGTAGAATTTTTAA